ATGATGGTCAGTGCATTCACACAGCGAGAAAGAGTGCTGCTCAGCTGACTGACCCATCCCAGTGGCCCACCAGCCTGGCAGCAGCCACTCACTCCTTCAGTAGTCCTGCAGGTCCAATCTCCAGAGAATGGGCCAGGCACTGACCGACCAGTGCCACTGGCCTATTGGAAGTCAGCCTTGGCCACCATGGCTGCTTCCCCTCCCTAGATGCTCCACAAGGAAGAAACGATATAAAAGCAGCCACCAGGTGGCTCCCGAGAGCCGGCAAAAAAACATCAACTGGATGGATCCAGATCCCAGGCTGGCAAGGGCATCCCACCATCCTCCAGGAGGGCTGATCACATCCAGGCCCCTTCAATCCCCCTAGAACCAGCACAAGACACAAGGCTCATGGCTTGTTAGCGCTGCTGCTGCTGCAGGCGTAGCAGGGCCGGGATGAGCTGGAGTGGCAGACAGGAGTGGCAGGCAGTGTTGGACTGTCATTTTCATTTCAATCCCCACAGGCCATGTCAAGGGACCCCACCCATGCACGAATTTGTGCACTGGGACGCTAGTTTTATTATATTAAAAAATTAATATGGACATATTGAATAGATCATAGGTCAACCTTTGTATGATTTTGCATCTCTGAATTATTCAGTTTTGAGGTGTGTGTCTATATCAAACTCCCTCTTCTCTGAGAACGATGTTTATACAGGTGCATTTTTGGGAATCACAAAAAGATTTTCAACTTTCAAATTTATGTAGATAAAATGTATCCAAAAGCTACTTATGCAATCTAGACTCAGAGAAAAACATAATAAAGATTGCATAATCATAAATAATTTTATTGTCCAGTTGTTTGTAAGTAGCGGATCATTTACTTGGGAAGACATGTTGATTAATTATGTTTAGACAAATTCTGAAAGGGAAAGCATGAAAAAACTACCATTTTCCTAATAGATAAGCTAATATATATTTTCTATGTAACATAAATGTGTATAATTAATTATAATGGAGATCAAAAATGAATGTTTAAAATAAGAAATAGTACTTTCTTTTAGAGAAAAATAGGCAAGAAATTTAATTTGTAATCTTAATGAATCTATTACTCAGAAACTATATTTATACAATTTTTACAAGCAAGAGATTATTTTTCTAACCCCATCTTCAAATATTTTACTAAGGTGTTCACACACACTATAGGATTTAATTACTTGAAAATGTTTAGGATGGCTTATTGGAATTCCATATAGCAATAAAATTGCATTAAATACTTGGTTATTTGTATTTTTATTTTTTAACTTTGGAATAAAATGATGCTTTATGTAAATGGTTGTTTCTATGATAAAATACATATTGAATTAAAACTTCTCTTTATAACTTTTGTGAAGTTTGTGTTCTGAGGCAATATATAAATCAGTATTTATCCTTCATCAAAATGTGATTTTTCTTAGTAATTTGAGTTGATTTTTTTATGGTTCCCAAGTTATTTTGTCTAAAAGAAATTCTTTAGTCATGTAAGAGTTCAATTACATGGAGTTGAAATACACAGTGGCAATCAATAGTCTCTACAAACACTTCAGTTTCTCTTAAGCCTGACACTGAACTGTATCCCGCTGAGTTTCTAAATTAGATTTTTTTTGAGGGATGGCATGTGCGAAGAGTAATAAAATTATTTAAAATAGAATGTCCATTGGTTATGCTAATATGCATGCATACAAGTCTCAGGTGGTGGGGGCTTGCCCTTGTGGGTGGGAGTGAGCAGGGCAGGGAGGGGTCAATCAAGGAAAAGGATACATATGTAAAGCTTTAAACAATAAATAAAAATAAATTAAAACATTTTTACCACCCTCAAAATAGAATGTAAAATATACAACTTCTTTAAAAATGCCTACACATTGACAATTTATTAAATGGAAATAGAAAGCTACCCATATTTTGCTTAAAAAATAAAATATTTAAGGTTATGTTTTTAATTCCACTAAAATATTTTTACATTATTTTTATCTTTATAGTTGAAAGTATTACAGATATCTCCTTTGTTTGTGTGTTTTATTTTCCCATTAGCTCTCTTGACCCTCGACCCACCCCTCCCAGATCTTCACCACTGTATTATCTGTGTCCATGGGTTATGCATATATGCACATAAGTTCCCTGATTAATCACTCTCCACCCTTACCTTCCTCTGAAATTCATCAGTCTGTTTCATGCTTCTATGTCCCCGGTTCTATTTTATTCATCAATTTATTTTATTCATTAAATCCCAGCTCAATCCTTGGTGGCAATGTGCAGGGGGCAGACGATTAGTAATATTTCTTTGTCATAGATGTTTCTTTCTCCATTCCTTTCTCCTCCTCTCTCTCAAAAATCAATAAAACATATTTTTAAAAAAGAAAACACAGTGAGATATCTCTCCACACGCATCAAATGGATAAGTACGAAAGCAGTGATGGCACCAAAAGTTCGCAAGGTTCCAACGAAAGTTGACCACTCATACATTGCTGATATAAATGAAAAATAGTATAGCTATTTTCTGTCAGAAATTTAACTTTTATCATTTACAACACACACTGTCAATTGTTTTAAGTAAAGTGCATGCTTATGTCATCAATTTTAGAGAATATGCCTGTTTAATATCCATCTCTGAATAACAGTGCATAACGGGTTGAATTGTGTACCCTAAAAAGATATGCTGAAGTCCTGGTACCAGGGACCTCAGAATATGAGATTGTTTAAAAATGAGGTCTTTACAGAGGTTATCAAGTTCAGATGAAGTCATTAGATGGGCCCTAATCCAATATAATTGGTGTCATTATGGAAAGAGGAAATATAGACACAGAAACTGGTATGCACAGAGGGAAGATGATGTGAAGACACACCTGGAACATAGGGTTCATGTGGCTGGAGTGATACATTTACAAACCAAGGAACATCAAGGATTTCTGGCAAACACCAGAAATCAACAAAGGCCGACACCTAGATTTCAGAACAATGAAACAACAATTTTTTCTTTTGTTGACACTAAATTTTTGGTACTTTGTTATGGTAGCATAGAAATAAATATATTACACTATTGTCTATTCTTAACTCATTCCTTCTATTGAAAATCTTCCATGAGAAATAGATGAGTTCAACTCACTCTGGAAAAAATCTTTTTTCTCAATAACAATTATACCTTGGTAAAGAAGATTTTTGTGCATACTCTCATTTTGTCACACATTAAAAAGATGTTTTATGTCAAGGCAAGGCAAGACAAAGATGTGCACTCAAGAGTCAAGATTTAACATCTATAATAATAAAAGCGTAATAGGCTAATTAGACCAAACAACCATCAGATGACCTTCCAGATGACCTTCTGGACACCAATGCTATGACACCCCACTGATGCGAGGCCAA